GGTGATGTTAATACTGAGAGAAGACTTTGTGTGAGGAGGCGGAGATGGCAGGCGCGTTGTGAGCCTGATGGCTGGCAGCCCCGCACAGCTACCCGCATCATCGCGCGTTTCTCCTCTTCCTTCGCTATACCCTCCAACCAGACTTGTCAATGCACCATCCTTCGCATACCGTCTATATGATGCGTATACACTCTCCAAGGAACTTTATCCAGTCTTTGTGGCAAATCCACCACAAGGCTGAAGCAGAAGAAGAGCACCTCGGATCCACCACTACATCTTTTCTTTCGCAACTGATTGCGCAAGACCATATTCGACGCTGAACTACGGCTTTGACCAGTCATCTTTCATGGCTTTTCTCAAGCTTAGTTGGAGCAGTATGTTGAATTGAAGCCAGCTAATTGCTAACACTACACAGTATCTTTGGCCCTAGCTCAAGCTTATTCGCAGCTTCCCAGCTATCCCAAGGGCCTTCTCGCCGCCGAGATTGGCGTAAAAGAGTGATGATGCGCTGAACCAAGATAGGGTCCTCGCAGAATGTCGCTGTAAAAAACAGCGAAGGAATCGTGTCGCTATCCAGCGTGAACATTGGCCGTCCCAACCACGATGCCTCCATACTATACAAATGCCCCGCCATGTCCAGGAGCTCATAGTTGAGCCTCGATAACTCTTCGTCGTTGTCTTCAGTCTCTGGAAGTAGGATTATTTCCAGTGCGCATCTGCGAAGCATGAGGACAAGTAGTTCGCGCTGAACTTCCTTCGGTAAACTCCGTGAGTCGGCCAAAGCTGAGACGAGGAGGTCGAACTTCTTCTTCCAACGCTCGAAAGATGCGGTGAGCTCTATCGTTTCGTTATCTAGACCACGATCTATCGTAGTCTCTTCATCTCCATCACAACCAGGATCGGTATTGAACAGCCTGATTTCTAGGTCCCATAAGGCCTCTTTGCATTCTGGGACGCTTGAAAATGGTGTACGCTCTTCGTCAATTTCGATCAATGGCGTGGCGTATGGTGTCATGTCGGAGATGACGTCTTCGTCGTCGACGAGCATGGCTGCGTCCACACCGAAGCGAAGTAACACGGTCCCGATCTCCTGCATCAGCTGTTTTGAGTCGTTTGAAGCGGCCGACAGGTTGCATGTTTCCAACAGACGTGCGCCGGCCCGCATGTGACGAATGCCCTCGTCAAAGCGACCGAGCAAGTTCTCCAAGCACACAAAGAGTAAACAGCAGGTCAGAATCGTGACCTCAGCATTAACGGTTGTTGACGTCTGAGAATCCTTGATGCTCACTAAGTCTCCAATGGCTTTGTTATAATGCTGTGTGGCGATGACTTCCAGACGGGCCATCGACTCGTTTGTATCATCCAGAAGAGGCGCTGAAAGCTTTTGGAGGTAGAGCTGATGGGCTGCACCGAGCGCAACCACTGCATGTCGTACCGCAGGCTCGTTATGGCTCATTGGAAGCACTCTTCGGGACCAGAAGTCTTTCGGAGTGGCGAGACGGACGAAATCGACGATGGTGATGGAGCAGAAATGGTAGAAGAAGAGCCGTTCGCGCGCGCTACCGAAAAGGCCAAAGCCAGATCCGACGTCTGGGGATATGCTACGCGTCTGACGACGAGCGACGGTACACTTGCTTGCTGCAGAGGCTTGGATGGCTTTCTCTCCAGTAGGTGATTGCTTCTTTTGAGGTGGCAGTGGCGCATACCCATCACACTTCACTTGGCCCTCTCTACATCGACGGCAGGTTGGTTTCTCTTCGTCACATTTCTTTCGGCGTATTCTGTAGATCAACACGCGGCATGTCAGTATGTTGAGCCTGATATGTTGGGCGATCGTGGATACCACGCTGTTTCCAAACACAGTTGCGGAACACAAAATCCTGGTATGAAGAAAGAGGTGGTGCACTGGGGAGATAACGCCCAAACACACTTACTTGCTGCGAAAGCACATTAGCAAAAGCTCCGTTGTGTCGACCACCCAAATTGTCGCGCGCAGAAAGGTCATCTTCGGTGTATAACACGGTGTTTCTTAAGGATCGCAGGTACAGAGGCGATAGAGTGGGAAGAGGGAACGAAAGAAGATGAGGCAGCTGCACTTCACCACGATTCTGGAGAACGTACCATGTATTACATCCTGTGCGAACTTTGGGAGAGAAGGTGCGCACTCGAGGGCCCTTTGTCAATACCGGCAGATCCATGATCATGTTATTGGCTGTGGCGTATGTCGGGTACTTCACCTTATAAATACGAGTTCACCCACAAACTCAAAATGGTTGAGGCGGTGCTATTTTTCAAAGAAGCCACAGTCGAAGTAAGGGCTGAGGACGCGCAATTGTTAGGAAGAAGAACAAGGAGATGGGAGTCCCGATCATGCGTTCTAGTTCATCTTATCGGCCCGACACGACGACCGTGATTGGCTCCAGCGTATAATCCGCCGGTCGGAAACGCCAATTTGACTGTCATCACCTCCGTCTCCACTGCGACAACACCTGGGCATCCACAACATCCACTGATCTCGTTAACAAGCTACTGGAGTCGACTCATTTCGGGTAACGTTGTGCAAGCTATACGCCGGCTGTATGATGCCTATCTACAGAGAACACAGCCTCCCGAGGTCTTGTCGACGGAACGCCCTTTTCGGAAACGTCATGGCAACAAGATTGGCATCGGCTGGTGACGTCCTCGCTATCGGGAAGCTGTATATAGAGGCAACGTTTAACTGAGTGGAAGATCATCTCGTTCTATATCTAAGATTCGCTCCAGAACGGCCATCCTATAAACACCCGGTGAAGCGTCGGGAACAGTTTACATCCATCGTTCCGAGCAAGCTTCAAGATGCGTTCTCAAGCGCTTCTTGCTCTCTCAGGCCTCTGTAAGTATCAGACCAAGCTTACCCATTACTCAATCGTTTTTCAGATGGACAAAAGCTAATTCAAATCAGGCCTTGCGTGTCCCGCCTTTGCCGGAGTCGTCTCGCGTGGATCAGACGCATCAATCGATCTAACACCAACCAATGCATCTACAACCAGCAAGGTCAAGGCCGATATCCGAGCTGATACCAATCGAGACGGCACGGTCGACATCACAGACGTGGAAGACTGCGAGGACTGCGACGGCAAGACCGAGTGGACTGCCGACTATGGCGCCATCTTTCTCCCCAACATTGGAGACACGAACAAGCGTTGCTCTAACGCCCTCCTCAATGGTCCTTCGGTCAGCAACGAGCGAATTGATGCTTGCAACGATGCTTCTGACAATGTCATGCGCTCCGAGCAATATCTCGCTCCGCTCCGCACAGTTCCACTGCCTGAGCTTCCCGATGACGCTCATGGTCGCATCTACATCAAAGATCCCGTGCAGCGCAAGTATGTCCGCATCTTCCACAAGGCGAGCGAAAACAGCACCTGGAGCTATGTCGACGGCAATTCCACTTTCAGCGCAGCCGCTCTGCGTGAGGGTCTTGTCCTCGGTGTTGACGGACGCGACACCCGTCGACCCAATGGCTGGGACGGCCGCGTTACTATTAGCTTCGATGTCGAGAGCTCGATAGGTGCCTCTTCTGATGATGTCATGCTTCGCGCTGCACCTGTCCTCACCCATACTCATCTCGACCCTGTGCAGCAGGTCATTGCTGTCAAAGGTAATGAGACCGGCAATCCATGGATCCTTCGCTTCACCGACGCCCTTCAAACAGCCGTCAACGAGTCTGGCCTCGAAGAGGAACTTTACCTCTTCTCCGGAAGCGATGATATCTGGGCGCAGGACTTCATGGAGCCTGGCTTCGCTTCGATGCCCGGTCCCGACGGACCCATCACCCTGCGTATCATGATCCGTTCTCCCCAGGACGAGCGTGTTGCCGGCAGACAGCTCTTCGAATACTACCGCGACACTGGTATCGGCGCTGTTCAGCAGCTCGGTGGTGCCCGCGATGAGATTAACTCCGGTGGTAATATCGAGACTATTCCTCCCTACGAGTTTAATGGCACTGCTTGGCCTGCCGGTCGTCTGATTCTTGGCAACCATGGCGAGCAGAAACACTTCATGCTTCCCTTCTTCCAAGCTCAAGAGACACAAGATCCCCTTCTTCTCGATACAGACTGGCTGGTCATCGGCCACGTTGACGAATTTATCCAGTTCATCCCTGTCGATTCACCTCGTGGTTGGGCCGTTATGGTCACCGATCCCATGATGGGCGTCGAAATGCTCCAGCAGCTAAAGGACAGCGGACACGGCTCAGAGCACGCCTTTTCGCGCAAGAACGATAGCCAATCATTCGACAACTGCACTTCCGATTTCGCCTGTGCTGCTATTCCCGTTCCGCCAATCACTATCAATGAGTTGCTTGCCAATGAGGACCTCATGTCTGTGCAGAAGCGCTGCGCCGAGCGTATCGAGGGTAATCTACAGATCCTCAAGGAAGCAACAGGAGTTACTGACGACGAGATTATTCGCCTCCCTGAGATGTTCAACGGAAATCCTTTCGGCGACCTTTCCGCAATCCTTTCCGGTAATGCGACAAGTGGCTCGACATTTGGCGGAAACTCTTCCGATAACGCGACAAATGAGCTGAAGGTCGGTGCGCTCTTCCCCGGTGTTATCAACGGCATTGTCTTGACCGACTTTGACACATACATTGCCCCCAACCCCTGGGGCCCCGTTGTGGACGGAACGGATGTTCTTGCCGAGAAGCTCAAGTCGCTGTACGCCAGTGTGGGTATGGATGTCATCTACATCGACGACTGGAACACACATCACAACTACGGCGGCGAGGTCCACTGCGGTACCAATACCGTGCGCGATATGGACACAGAGTGGTACTCGTCATGGGCATCCGATGAATGTGATGATGAAGGTGGAGATGACGATGACGAGGGGGGCGATGGCGAGAATTACTAGGCCTAAATTTATCTTGTAAATACCGGCCATGATCTCGATGTCGCATTCATCTGCTGGTAGAAGAGAGATCTCGTCTTCAAATTAGCAGCTACTTTAACCAAATCATGCTATGTATCTATTTGGAAACTCTCTCGAAGGTCGCGACGACGTCTCGTCTGCGCACAGTTTTTCGTCCCCATATGTACGTGTGGCTATGTAGAATTCACCTTTGAGGTACTCGGATCAAGAACGCGGGTTGAGGAAGTGTATCCACATGGTATGAGATACAGTGACTGTCGTTAGCTGCGACATTACTTTTCCTCCGCATATTGAAAGATCGATATCAAATCAGAGACGTCTGTGCTTTCGCCCTGGTCGTCGACTTTTCGCTGCTACAAACGAGAAAAGCTTGGACCTGTGTGGCCTTTGCGCTAACAATCTACCTAGGTGAGTCTACTTTGAAACCATATCACTCTCGCCGATACTTCTATCGTACTGCGATGGTTTCGAAGCTGTTCGCGCTCGGCGCTGTGCTTCTCGCCTCTGCCATCGCTGACATCTTCGACTCGTCTCGGACCAATATCTCCAGCGCTGCTACTGAGAACGCCAAGGTCGAAACCGCCGTATTGGATGACCCTTGGCTGCAAAACCCCGCCGATGACGCTGTATGGAAAAGGGCGAGAGACAAAGGCGAGAACTTGATGCTAGGCATGACCTTCAACCTTCCAGAGGCTGGTTGGGCCACCCAACCAATCATTAGTCCCTGGGATGGAACGCTCAAGCACGAATTGGAACTTTGGGGCTATCAAGAATTTGACAACACGCCGGAGCGTTGCGATCTTGAGGAAGACGGCGAAGGGTTTCAAGATATGCTCAAAGAGTTAGGTGCGGATCATAGGGATGTACGTTTAGGAGGGGACAACATCTGTCATACAATTTGGCATCGAGACGGCGCTACCGTGGAGAAGGACGAGAACGGCAACATACCACTGAATCCTGCGGACCAATACTACCCCGTCCGTAATTGCAAATATAGGGTAACAAGCGCATATCATTCGAAAGGGCTGAAAGTCCGCACAACATAGCTGACATTGCTTCAGGCTACCAGCGCACAATTCACCATTGCCATAAATCCAAAGGCTGGTATCATCTTTTTTCTCTACCGTTCGAGCCCCGCGAACATGGCGAAAGCTATATGGGGAGTAGACTCCGTCAGCCCGGACCAATTGCCTGCCCTCAGGTCAAGTTCAGATATTGCCTGGGGTCTCTGGAACAGGCATAGCCAAGGAAGCCTCTCCAACATCAACTACTTCTTCTCAAGCCAAATTGTGAACCGGCAGACGCTCAATATCATCACTAGAGCTATGAACAATAAAAAACAGGACCGCCTGCTGCAGGCGCCGGGATACACATTCAAAGCTGGAACTCCCGAATTCTTTGCCCTGATAGGTACGTGTACGATTAGAGACTTCTCTGATACGTGTACCAGAAAAATTCAGCGGCCATAGTGCTTACGCTAACCATCAACTCTTAGGATCGCCGAACCTCAAAGCAGCAGCCTGGTTTGTCGCGCAGCACAAGGCCCAGTTCGGCCACAGTCGTTATATCTCTGAGGTCCGTGTATTCCAACCGAACAACATCATGTTACCCCAGGTCTCGATGCTTGTGAAGGTCGAGCGAGCGCCAACGCCCCCGAAATTTCCATCTGAGTTAATACCACCTGAAATGAATGCGGATTCAGGCCGCGCGAAAAGAAGGCAGTCCAAAGGAAAGCTAGTCGCATCGCTCGACATCGATAGTGAGAAGGATGTGGAACGTGTGGATCTGACCCACGAGGATGTCAATGTGGTTAGGCGTCATGTTATCTGGGTTTAGATGTATCTACACCGATGGTAGCACAGGCTTCAAATGGTGAGCTACTACACCTCGTACGAGGGGAAATTTGATCACCTGTCTTCTAGAAGTTTACAGTGCCTGATTTGTTCATCTCAGCTTATATGCTAATGTAGTCAGCAAAACAAGTTTCCACATCACAGTTTTCGTGCTTTCACAACGTACCTAGGTAACTATTGCACATCGTTGGCACACGAGCTCCCACTCTGCACAGTTAAGTGATTGCCCGCTTCCTTTTCACCCACCACACCACTTTCTCGATTGCGCATCGCTAGACCAGGATGCCTACCGAGTACGGCGACGAGACCGTGGCTGAGCTCGAATGGCTCCCGCCGAAACAAGAATATATTGCCAACCTACGCTCAGTCGCACCCCCAGCGGACGAGCCAACGTGTGCTATATGTCGTGGTGAGTGGGAATATCCGGCCCAGGAAGTCGTCGAGCCAAGCCCTCACTGCTCTCGACATCCTCTTCACAAAGACTGTCTTCTCATAACCTTTGCAACGGAAGACGGAGAGGAGGTCAGCAATCTGTGTCCATTTTGCCGTCGTGAGCTTTTCGAGAAGATCACACAGCCGCCTGTGGAGCCCCCGAGTAACACGAACACTGTCTACCAGCAAACTGCCCAACTATATGACGGCCTTGTGGCGCTTCATATTCAGATTGAATACAACGACGACAAAACCGAAGATCCACAGCTGCTGTATCCTTCTGGTCCAACTATTGAGGACGCCTTGCAGAAAGACGGTTACTGGTCTGCTCTTCCCCGTTTCTTGGACGAATGGTACCACCGCAATGCATTTCAGATTATCGAGCAGAAAAAAAGCTATAGGGAACCACTGTCGATCGTGGAGATGGGTCGCGCAGCTTTTACTGCGCTCTTGGGTTCTGGCGAGCCACCGTCTCGCAGGATTACACGTCTCACAGACGAAGGTCGCGCAGCTATCACTGCGCTCTTTGCACACGAAACTGACAAATCAGACTTGTGTCTAAAGGCTACAGAGCTATTAGATCACCAACAAGGCGAAATTGTCATGCAATGTATCCGCGCCGCCCTCATGTACTACGACCAGTCTGCCTTCCCCCAACACGTCGAGGATCTGCAGGGCAAAACTCGTTGGCTCATTGCCTACCATGTCCTTACTTCTCTATTAACAGGACGCAGACGCGCTGATGAGGACGTCTGGTATCGAGGAACAAACATACCCCGCTGGCTCCAGCTGGTCCGTTTCCGTAAGATGCTGTACCGAGGAATCGACCAATGGGCCTCACCGACCTTCTTCGCCAGCCAACCCCCACTCGAGATAAATTTTCCTTACGGTCACCTTATGGGTGTTACCGAGGGCTTCGGCGAGCATGACTTATTGGAAATACAGTATTTCCGGTCCACCGATGCAGAGCCGTATCGAACTCGTATTGGACCCATCGATCGTGGTCATAAGATGATCATAAAGGAGGACACCTCGGTGTGCCCTTTAGATCCCAATCTCCCGAATGGCACTATTTTTAAATTTCTGAAGGACGGAACCTTGACAGTTCGGGAACTCTGTCCTGCCTTCCTTCATGACATTTCCTGCAACCGTGAGGAATGTTTCTTCGATCTCGTTCACGCGAATGGGAGTATGCTGAGGATCATCCGTAGGGTTATGCCGTAGGGGCACTAGGGGTCGCTAGGACTCGGGCTGCATGTTGCTACATACATACTATTAATTGTTGACAACTAAATAGCTTGTAAGGCAGTGTATACTTGGCTAAATACTATCTTCAGCAACGTTTTGCACCATGAGCTTACTAGTTCCCATGCGTATCCGCGATCTCCTTCTGGCCCTTCCTCACCCACGCTTTGAACGGATCCTGCACATCAGGATTCCTCCTCAACTTCTCAATCTGATCTTCGCCCGACGGCACCAAAAGCCCTCTCTTGACTGCATCTCTCTCCTCAATCTCCTCACACCACTTCTTTAGCTTCGGAAACTTGGTCACCTCAATCCCCGCCCATGGTGCCCACCGAACCCATGTAAAAGTCGTGATATCCGCAATACTGTACTTGCCACGGCCTTTGCCTGCGAGATAGTCTCTATCATGGAGTCGCGCTTCTAGTACCGAGTAGAGGCGCTTTGTCTCATTCTTGTACCTCTTCGTGCCATAGTCAATCTTCTCGGGTGCGTAGCGCACGAAATGGTTCGCTTGTCCTTGCATTGGGCCCACGCCGGCGTTCTGGAAGAAGAGCCACTGTATCATATCCATCCGCTCGTCACTATCCTGGAAACTGAACTTGAAGTCTTTGTCATAGTGTTCGGCGAGGTACAGAAAGATGGCTCCAGATTCAAAGACGGGGTATGAGTCTCGGCTGTGGTCTACAATCGCGGGTATGCGACCGTTGGGGTTGACTTTGAGAAATGAAGCGGACTTCTGCTCGTCTTTGGATAGATCGATGGCGGTGGTCTTGTAGGGGATGCCGAGTTCTTCGAGGAAAATGGAGATCTTTTGGCCGTTGGGTGTGGCCGCTGTGAGGAGCTCGATGTTGGGGGTCGTCATTTTGTGTTTTTGCTCTCAATTTGCAGTGTCTCTCCTATGTGAGATTTCTTGAAGAGTAGGCATCAATGCTGCAGTATCACTGCTTACATAGATGCGCTATACCCGCACTACCGATGGTCCCGTGGACTCGTATCATGATGACGTATGCTTGAAGTAGCTGAAGAGGACGTCATTAGGGTGTGCTGCTTAACTGCCCGCATTCCGAAGGTAACTGGATATTTTCATCAAAAGAATGCATTCGAATTGAAAGAGCCGTTGTTCAGCTTGCAATGTAACAAAGAAGTGGAGAGCTCTTCCCACTTTCAACGCGTGTTGGCATTCGGGTTAGCGCGGCGCTAGTCCACGCTCAGGTGTCGCGTGCCTCCCGCAACCACCTGGGCATCATCACCACGACGCACCACCAGCCTGGATCTCTTGTGACACATGAACTCCTTCCTTCTCTTCTCTTCTGCAGGTTCAAACAAAGAGGATAGCTCTCGATCGCCGATAATGTACTGGTACGCCGATGCATAGCCATGCCGTTCGTTTCGCGCGGTGGTCTGATTTTCTTTCGGCTTTAGTCCCATTTGGCCCAAAACAGCAACCATCATGCCACTTTTGAGAGCAAGATCCAATAGGTGTGTAAGGGATCGTTGCATGTGACTGATGTTGAGCGACTTTCGGGGCTTGAAATACTGCTTGTATGTGGAGGCGACGATCTTACTCCCTCTACCGTAATTCTGTTGTTCATTCCTCGTTGTTCGTTCTTTCCTCCTTCTCTATCGCGCAAACTATTCTCCACGGCTTTGTGACCTTAGAGTCTATCTACCATTCGGATAACTCGAGATACAGCCTGGCAAACCACCGTTGGAGAATACTCAAACTTCCACCGCACAGAACCGAGATTACTCGCGCAGAGACTCCAAGATCGAGCACGAAGCACAGAAAAGCACTCGCAACAAGGTGTGCGGAATAGGCTGAGTACAAACAACGCCTACTTCTCAAATCACACACATTGGGAACCCGCACTGCTACAGCCAGACCACATTCGACTCTTTCTCAACTCCTCATTTCAGACGAACCTTTAAAGCTTCCAACACAACAAAACCCCCCACAATGTTGATAACCCGCACCTTCTCGCTCACAAACTTCCTCATCGGATCTTCAGCGCTCTGCTTCCAAATCTTCGTGCTCTACCCATGGCATGAAAAGCTAGAAGAGGAGTTCGTGGAACTGAAGAAAGAACACGCGAGGTTACTGGAGGAGACGCACGAAAGGCACAGGGGAGAGCTGAGGGGGATCAGAGAACAATTGGAGTTGGCCAACGAGCGGAGGAAGACTGGGAAGTTTTGGTAGAGTGGGAGGATTGTGGGAATTGATAGAAGGGAGGGTTTTGCTGAGGAAGGGGGAGCGGGAGCGGAAATGGAGAACGCAATGGGTTGTGGGATATCTAGACGGACGGGACATGTCACAAAGCTAAGCAAAAACATTCGAACGATGTTGAAAGCACCTGTACACAATCCCTGTTCAAATCCCAACCCCATCCTGTTGTCGCTACTCGGAGCATAGCATCGGATTCGAATGAAAAACGGAGTATCGCGCTCTTGATGTGACTAGATATGCCCAATACTCTAGGATGGGGCACCACCATGCGAAAGTCGTATGCGTATCTGAAAATAAACAGGCAGACGCAGCCAATAGTACATGTAACGAACAACAAAGTTCACGAAAGCGAATGCATCTATCGAAAAACACCACCTCCGTTCTCTCCGCGAAAACTCTCTTCTTAGCCTTACAGCAACGAAACAAAGAAAAAGCTTCACACACAATAAACTACTCCATCACATCGATAACCCTCCCCTTCCAATAGCACCAACGGCTTACCCTCCCTCCCTCCTGTCAAGTCTGTCAAACGCGGACCCAACTCCGCCACTCGGGGTCCATCCAATCCGTCCGACCCATTCAAATCCACCAAGCCCACCAACCCAAAAACAGCCCTTCCGAGCGCCGATCTTAGGGGGGCAGCAAACCAGCGGACCAGCAACACCCCTTACCCATCCTCCTTCTCCACAATGACGCCAGCAAGGCGCGGAAACAGTAATGCAGGTTATGGTGATCAGCACGCACCAAACAAACAAAGCGCATGCAAAGGGATCAACACGCATGCAGCGTGTGCCGAGCCGCGTGGGTTGACAACTGACGTTTGACGTGCCGCGTTGCAGGTGATTGATGGTTAATTCGCGGCAGGCTGGCATGATCATGATGATGATGATGATGATGATTATGTGTGGTGCGGGACGGGTTGGCGTGGGATTGATTGCGAGACGCGCGTTTTGCGATTCAGACTGTACAATGAGGCGATTTTCACGTGCAGAGATACTGATACTGATAGGCACAGGGCAGTTTCGTAGTCATTCGCATTTCAGTAGATAAACCTGAAAGGAGGCAGGCGCTAGGAGACGTAGAAAAAGCCCGTGAAGAGTACAACATGCAGCATTGGAACGGGAAATGGAATTAGTAGTAGGAAATGTAACGCCTTGGTATAGTAGTGTCGAAGAAAGCTCTCGATCCGAAGCCGTCATGTCTCGGAGAGTGATGAATGGTCCTCCTTAAGCAGCACTCGCAGCCTTTGTGTCCTGCTGCGGATCCGGCTGTCACCCAGGCCTAGCAACACGCCGCCTGGCCCCTCGATTGTACCTGCGTGTGCTCCCTCCCGCGCGAGAACAGATTTCTCGCATGCTAAACCCCCAAAATCCGTGCCCCATAAGGAATGTGACCGTGTGCATGGCCGGCTGTGGCTGCGAGCAGCTGTCGAATCGCGGCTTCCCTGAACGAAAAAGATGAAAAGTGATGTTCGCGACAATCCTCATGGCTTATGTCTGAATCTCCTTCTTCTCTGCGCCCTTTGGCCGGAAGACGGCGTCTTGACCTGACATGCGACGTGCGAGTGCGCGGTCCAGCTTTGCTCCCAGCGCCAGCTTGCTCATGTCGTCTGTCTTGCGCTCGTTGAGGGCGTACCGTTGTTGGACCAGGCGTTTGTCTTCGAGGCGGTCAAACCCCGCGTTCCATGTCTTGATGTCGTGTGACTTGGGGTCGCCGGCTGTTGACGAGGCTTGCGAGAGGTGCGAGGGCGCGATGGAGGGTGTGAGGGTGGGTGTGGCGCTGTAGGTGGACATGCGGGTTGATGCGCGGTTGGCGGCCGACTTCTTCTCGTTAGACTGTGCTTGTTCCGACATGGTCGCTGTGTGGTGTGCGTGTTTGTGTTGGTGCGGGCGTGTTGGAGCGCAAAGGCAGGTGTTTGTGTGGTGAGTGTGAAGGGAAGGGAAGGCGCAAAGGAGTGAATGTCAAGCACGCAGTGCAGGTGCTCCTCGGCGAGCATCGACCACACGCAGGGGACGTCTGAAACGGGCAGTGGATACGGGAGAATGACTTACGTTGGCAAGCATGGGCCGCGAGGACTCAAGAGAGTTTGTCATGATGCGCGCCACGGCGAGTCCGGTGGTTAGTAGGTGGGCGGGGATAGCGTGCTGCTTGCTAGGTCGCCGGAACTGCAATCGTACGACGGCGATTGAAGGGTATAAGAGAGGGCGCACGCAAACAGAGCAGTCAGAGGCCGGTGTCCGTGCTGGGTCTGTAGAGAAAAGCGAGGAGATGGGTGTTGTAGTCGGTAGAAGTCCTGTGCTCAGCCTGCCTTACTCCTGCGCGTTTCAAAGGGCCCAGATCGGCAAGGGGCGTCGTGAGTAGCAAGATGCACGCGCAGGGGCACCACGGTTAGCGAGTCGCAACGGGCGGCGGTGATGTTTGGTAGGATTCTAAGACGTCAGCCTTGCAGACAAGCAGCGGCATGTGCGTGATCAAGACGCGTAGCAGAAGGCCCGCCGCCGACGAACACGACGCGGTTATGTAGGCAGCGGCGGCTGTAAGCAAGGAAAGAGCGACCCCTCTACCACTACCACCACCGGCATCATGGCAACCACCAGACGGCTCTGAAACGGCCGCACGTAAGGATACTGCATCTAGGGATACTTGCATTTCGATAAAGTGCTGAGTGAGTTGCATGCAGTCAGCCTCCACTCAAGCCATTCACGCCGACCGCGACACCCGACCAATCCCCTTGGCCACCGCCCACGCTTGCATC